TCACACAGTCTTGATCCAGAGTCAGAGGATAAAGATGGAGTGACATGTTTACACATAATAGCAAAGCAAGGAGATAAAGAGATATACGAGTATCTTGTACCTCGTGTTAGGAATAATCCAACTCCTAAGGATAAAGCTGGTCGGTCTCCACTTCATTACGCTAGCAGACATTATGAGATATCAGTGTATCTGATTCAATGTTTTAATATTCATCCTGAAGACAAAGACAGTAACGGATTCACTGGTGTTCATGCTGCCTGTCAAGCTGGTAACATTCAACTTGTCTCACATTACTTAACTAATCTAAAATGTGATAAGAATATTCTAACAAACAGCTCCAAAGGATTATTATATTTTGCTGGTAGAAGTGGTAACTTGGAGTTGGTTCATATTTTAATAGATAAGTTTGATTTAGTTCCTGTTCAAGGAGACATTGATGGTGCTAGGTCAGTCAATGCTGAGTCTACTGTTAAGTTTCTTGAAGCTAGAATTAGTTTATCAAAATTAGTTCGTGAGCTTGTTGATGAGGCAGAGAAAAGGCAACTAGTAGCAATAGCTACTAAACCTCGTCCTTCATTTTTATCTTCTTAAACCTTAAACTATAATACTACGTAAAATGGATTGCTTTCTTATAATTGTCATTGTCGTACTTCATTCTTTTCATTCATTTTTGTTGGAATTGTTTCAATTCTTTTGTACGCATTACCAATTCACCACATCACACTCATTCTCTACTACACCTTCACTTCTACACAAACACATTCGATCGTTTCCTTTCTTCATTATATTAACACTATGGCATCAAATCTCTCTCTCGTTAACTTTAATACCTTCAAGAATAATGGAGACTTCTTGTTAGGTAATTTTCTTCATTTTGCAAATGAAAAATTGCAGCAGGGCAATTTTTTTCTATTTTTGATGATGTTTTTTAGAGTAAAGTAATGCTCAGTATTTATTTATTATTTCTATTGGTAGTTGTTATACAATATGCAGCATTATGATGATTTCCTCTGGTTTATTATTCTTATTTTTGTTATTATAAATCATTCATTGTTGTATTGTATATTATGTTGTATTGTTTATGAGCATTAATAGTTTGTGTACTTGTTTCTGCTCCACTTTTTATTGAAATGAGATTTCTTTTACATGCCATAGCTTTTATACATTAACTTTTATTGAATGTGTTTATATGCATTGATATTACTTATCATTAGTAACACTTTTATTAATTACTATCATAACAATGTGTGTTATTACTATTGTCATTATTGTTATTATTATTGTTATTATTATTATTGTTGTTGTTGTTGTTAATCTTATTTTTTAGTAAGCTAATGAATTGAACTAAAATATAAACTAGTACTTTAAAAGTTATTGACATTTTTTTACTATACAATTTTTAATGATACTCTGTACTATGCTGTTATTAAAAATAATTTTTTAAAAATAAGGTCATGTTTGCATGACTCCACCACATCGTTTTTGTTATTCCTGTTTCAGGTGTTTACACTAATCCAGCAGCTGCATTGTCATTAGAATTTATCATTTGTTTATAGAATTATTCCTTTTAGTATTTGTTTTTATTTTGTATGGATTTGATATCAGTGTAAACCCAACCAAAAATATTTCCATTTTTGTTTAAAATGTTGTTGTGTAAATGTGGCCTAAATTAAAAATACATTAAAGGAAATGTCAGAAGTTCTATGTCCACGGATAATGAACTAAAGGCTCCATTGTAAGTTTATTTAAGAATTACTGATCCTTTTATATAATATTAATGTAATACTGAGTTGATATCATGTTATTTTCAGTCTAGGCTGCTGAAGTTGAGGCTGAAGGCTCTGGACTTATGAGTAATTTTAAGTGATATAGTATTATAACTATAGGACATTTGGGAGTATTTTGGAGTCATTTTTCAGAAACATTTATGGGGTACGTATAGCCTTGGGCATTTTTTAGAATTTGGTGAATTTTTTAAATGGCCATCAAGTCAAAAAATTTTTATCAGAAACAGCTCAAATTTTCTACAGAGCATAAGTACATTAATATGCATCAGAAAATGTAATAAAAATTGGGAGTGATTTCAGAACATTTTCAGAAAAAAATAATTATTGAATATTATTATTATTATTATTATTATTATTATTATTATTATTATTATTTTATAGTGATCTAATTTATAATCATGGTGTGTGCATACGAGTGTTAGGTGATATTAAATTATTACCAACTGATGTACAAGAATCAGTAGCAAGAGCTGTGACAATGACTAAAAACAATAACAAGTAAGTACTTAATATTACTAGTACATGTTCTTGTACATGTACATATGGTTTAGATGTTTCTCCTCATCAGGTATTACTGTGTTTGCTAAATTACCACAAGTACATGTACATTATTTTATTTAATTCAAATCTTAAGTGGCTCACATGTAGTGTAAGTGTTTCTATATATCTGCCCCAGTCTTTTGTTACTTTTGGATTATAACCACAACATACTGGACAAGTAGAGGTAGCTACCACAGAATCTATACAACAGTCACTACTGTATTCATGAGACTATACTGTAGTCAGTCCTTGAACAATTAGGGCCCAATTGGTGATATGCATGGGGTGAATAGTACAGTAGTGTAGAGAGCTTTATAAATAACAAAATGATAAATACATTATTAATTGATACAAGACATGAAAGTACAATATACATGTACATGTATTTATTATTATATATTGTCCATTCCTTTATTATAGGATATATCTTAATGTGTGTTTCTCTTATGCATCAAGGTATGAGATTACTGATACTATAGAGTCACTGGTTGATGGATCTCATGATCAGAGGCGTATTTAGGGGGGGGCTGAGGGGGCTTGAGCACCCCCCTCAGGGCTGGGCTCAGAAAAAATTACTGAAGTCCTGGACTCTTGCATCACTACCAAGCCTCTTAACAAAGTTATCTAGCCCCCTTATCATGATTTCAGCAGTTTACAGTGCTTTAAGGAGCAATCAGAAGTACCAGTAACATAGCAGTATGCTTGAAATGATCTTGGCCCCACCCGTAATTGTCGAAAATGCAGGAAAAGGCCGTTTTACCACCGTAAAAGTGGGTGTGACCAAAATCGCGGCGCGCTTCGCGCGCCCTCAGCACCCCCCTTCCCCAGTTCCTAGATACGCCCCTGATGATGGTACTATACTCCCAATGTAAGTATATGTACATACATGCATCATAGTACCACTTACACATACAACATACACATACATGTATGCTGTATAACTGTGTACATGTACTCTTTCTACTCTGCTGTGTCCGGACATGTGCATGTTTAGTATCATTGGGATTTGTCATTGATTTGTTTGTACATGTTCAATAAGACCATCTACTAACAATTAATGTACATATACATGTACATGTATGCTGTATGTAGGGGACTCACTTTGTTAGGTTGATTTTCATTATTTTGTATAATGTGTGGTTCCTGTACTAGCTGTTGTACATTTGGGTTTAAATTGTTATGATATGATTATTGTGTTTTATTTTAGTGTGACTGGTTGACTGGTTGTATGAGTGTATGCTTGTATGTGAATCCAGTGGACAGTACATGTACATTCAATATTACTACTTCTATTATACATACATTATACAAGTACGTGTATTTACATTATAGAGATATCAGTGAAGAGTTAATGGAGAGATGTCTTTATACTGGTACATGTACACCACCTGATCTTGTCATTAGAACATGAGGAGAAGTGAGATTAAGTGACTTCCTTATATGGCAGGTATTCTTTAATTAATTAATTAATTAATATATTTATTATTATTAATAGAGCTCTTATTCTTGTCTCTGTTTTCAAGAT